CTTGAAATTCACATCTGCCCTGTGATCCAAGACTCATCTTGGCAATGTTAGGGTTAACGTGTTTAGCTTATATGCTGCACTTTCATAGTCCGAGTCCTGCTAGAGGTGCTGATAAGAGGTCGAAACTGCAGTTCATCCTGGATAAGAATACTTTTGGCAAAGCCGTTTTTTATGCACTTTAGTGGAAATGGAAGATCTACTTGTCAATTAAGTAGATTTTAACTAACAGTCCCCTTATAATCTCAAATAAAATAGAATGAGCACATTTCATATATATGAACTAATTGGAGCCTCTAAAACCTATTAGGTATTTTAACTTATGCATGCGAATATCCTCTGTGCCTCCATTGCTCTCTGCTTGCAATGAATATACATTTTGAGGGACCCCAGAAGAATTTTCAAAGGATGCTATGATCTATGTAATGATGTGTTTAGTCTAGTTGTATTCTTTACAAGAACTTATTAGGTATTCCTAAATAACTAGGAATTCGATCATACCAATTCTGCTGCGGTTGCAGCAGAGCCTTACCGAGACCGATGTTTTTCTTTATTTGCCTTTTTAGTATTCCTTTAATAAGATACAAGCAAAATATTTTCCTTTGATATGTTTTCAAAATATTTCATTCGAGGAATGTTTATTACTTTTCTTTCTTTCTTTCATTTTTAGATGGCTAAGGTTCAGTCATTTTTAGTCCGTCGACCACAGCCTCTTTCTCTCTCTAATCGAGCAGCATCACTGCATTGTTTAGTCCCTCTAGTTGGCATGCCCAACAGTCCTGGTTCATTGCATTCATTCGCGGGTACCACTATCGTATCTGGGCCATCCAGAAGATCTGCTTTGTTGCCAACCGTTGCGGTTCCTTCTGGTATCCCTCAATCCTCTTCTTCAATATCTTCGGAAAAAAGGGCTGTTATGGCGGCTCTGATAAGCCCACTTACTGTCGACAACGCAGCTTCTACTGCCAGTGGCCAGTCTGTTGTGCCTCCCACTATGACAAAACTGGCCCAGGATCATGTGCCTTCCTCTTTATCAGTTACCCATGGCTTTGGAATGGAAACACATGCTTCATTTGTGGGAAGTCAAGGGCCTTCTCAGTTGGCTCTTCGTATCATGTCCGAGCCTGGGACAGCATCGCCGCAGCTCCAAAGACATTCTTGTTCCGGACAGCCAATTATTCTGTCAGAATATGGAGCGGCTCCAGAGGCACTAAGTAAGCAGTGGTGTCTAGGCTAATCTTACTCCATAGGGAATATGCGTTCTTTTATTCTTTTATTTCGATTCTTGGGCCTTTATTTTACAGAAGTGTTCTGGGTGCATCTTATCCTAAGTCATCTGCTATATTAGTTATAATAATTTTAGTGTTTGACCACGAACTTATTACATTCCCATACATTTCGCCGGCAAATGAGTAGACATCGTCAGTACGTCTTACCAATTTTAGCGCCAAGCTACAACTCGTCAAAGAGACAAGTGAAGTTGATGCACTGACCAACTTTCAGCCTAATGGTTGATATCACTCTTCTGTCTCTGAACATCTACATACTCCCTACTCTCTTATCCCACTCCTCTATCGCAACTTCTTACTTGATTATATTCTATTCCTTTTAAGCTGTGCCCGTTTTGGCTAATTTGCTTGGGCGTTATCACATATGCTTGTTTATCTTGATCTCCCCCCATCTCGATGTGCCTGAATTGTTGATCCGACTCGGTTCTCATATCCGAATCACCCTCGTGGCTCTGGAGATTCGTTTCTATTATTACTAGTTGATTGGTTTCACTCGTTTTCAGTCACAGCATAATCTTTACGTGAGACGTTATTTCTCATGATCGGTCACGGGCCTTTGCTGCCACATATACTGTAGCCTTACTGAGCAGAGCACCTAGGCTCTGATCCTTATACTTACAGGTATCAGGCATTGTCTTCACGGACCATTTCTCTAATTCAACTAATGTACCCTGGACAAATTGTGAATGTCTTTCTCTGGTCTCCTGCCGCATCTAGAGTGGATTTATAGTCAATTTCTCTCTGATCTACTAGCCATAGTTCCGAATCCCTGTGGCGACTGTGATTAGCCGTTTTCATATTCCTATAGTCCGTATTCGCGACTACCAGTAGATCATATTTATATATGAGACTTATTTATCCAATTTAGTTAAGGTCGTGAATTTTCCACAATGAGATGATTAGACCTTACAATTTTGTGACAAACCTTAAATAAAGCCTATACTAATACTGGAACAGATTGGAATCAGTCAACTAATAATATAAGAAATGAATCTTTGAGAACTTGAGGCCCGAGTCGGATCAGCAATTCCTGAAAATCGAGTAGGAGGAGAGTCAAGATAAACAAGCAGATGTGATAACGCCCAAAGTAAACTCGCCTAAACGGAAATATCTTTAAAGGAGTGGAATATAACCAAGTCAGTAGTTGTGATAGGGATGGAGTGAGATAAGAGGATAGGGAGCATATGGATGTTCAAGAACATAAATAGAAGTGGTAACAACCATTAAGCAGAAAGTTGGTTAAGGTATTGACTTCACTTTTCTCTTTGACGAGTTTTAGTTTGGTGCTATGAGTGACAGGTCTCTCTGAAAACATGACCAAGTTGCCAAAACTATGTCAGATCACTTCTTTACATCGAAATGATACTGCGACCAAACCACA